TTAAGCAGGAGGCTAAACCTCCTAAAATAATTGGTCAAATATTCGTTGTTAAACTTGATAAATGTAGTCATTTAACTGCATTAAATTGATTTCATGAGTATGTTGTGAATTGATCAGCTGCTCTCGGACGTGATCTCCCCTCTCGTCTGGAGCAGCAGGATGCTGCTTGTCAGTGTTAATAAAAAATCCCTTCTGAGGCTTGAGCCTCGGTGTGTTGAGGCCAGCAGTGAGAAAGTAGAGCCCTGATTGGATAACACAGGAAAATCCATCACTTCCAGTGAGGCTAAACCTCTAAGGGCCCCTCTGCCTTTGTGTGCTTCAGTTGCTCGCCGAGGATTTGAGTGTTTCTCAATTCTCTAATATTTGGCCCCGCCCCCATGATCCATATTTGAGCTTAGAGTGCATATAAGCGGACTTTTAACCAAGAAAGCAGAAAATGGTGATGATCCAGCTGTTCTGCGTTACTGTTGAATTTTCATAAACGAACCCCCCCATCCCATAAATCATTTACAAATCTCAGATACTCTGTTCTCTAGATTAATATTCAATCATTAAATTCTCTCCACAGGCTTTTGCTTTACAAATAGTGGATGATTGTAAGTAAAATATTAAAGATTAACTCGCTATTAATGTTAATTTTAGAATTTCTTAAGAACCTAAACAAACACAGCATTAGATGCACAGATTCACAATATACTAAAATAAGCAAAAAAATCTAATTACTGTAATTAAATTCATCACATTTTCTTAACCTTCTAAAATAAAATGCAGATATTCATGAAACATACTTGATAATACATTTATAGTTTATTGATTAATCTTTCAGTAAAAAAATGACAATTATTATAAGTAAGGACCTTGTATAGAAAGAATAAGAACCAGCGCCTCAGTGGTATTAAATTTATCAAATGGCCCATTCCTCCAACAGTCTGAAATACCAAACCTAACAAACATTTGTTGGTAATACATTTTAAAGAAGAAGGAAATCTGAAGTAGATTAATTGGGTTAAATTAAAGAGGAAATAACTGATTTATTTTCTCTCTATCTTCTGGAGCAGAAGTCAAGGATTAGCGGACCGGGATCCAGATCCGGATCCACCTGCGGGCTAATCCGGACCCAACCTGATTTAAAACATTTATAAATTACTGCTTGTTGTACAACAA